TACACTGGAGGTATTTTCCACTTTGTTTCACTCTGTCCTGGCGTTCTCCCACGAAAACACAAATCAAAACAACTAAAAGGAGCCTCTATGGGTTTAATACAGTTGTTTACAGAGCAGCTTGAGAATAACACACACGGCTGGCCTGTTAGTGGGCGCCGTGAGATTAATACACTTGTTTGTTTTCTCTAATTTGTATATAGAAAGTGGAATTTATTAACCGAACCGCATCAAATCGCCCCGTGGGACTTGTTGGGGGAAACCGTCGCCCCAGTCGGGTCATAAACAACAGAAAACACCGAAGCACCCAGAGGTCGTGTAAATATAACCGTTTGTTGTGTTGTGCCAGTTTTAAAGAACATCTCCAGGGTTCGAGGTCTTCTATTTATCGCACACGTTCCCATTCAGGCACAGCAACAGGGACGAGGACGTTTTAAAAATTCTCCAAAGTGCCTCCTCTCATCCATAGAACCCAAGGCTGCTCATTTTGGCCTCACAATTGTTGTTTCTGACTGAATTTGGAAATTTCAAAAAATAGCCTGAGGCACAAAGGGTCGGAGATGTTTCCCTGGAAGAGTTCTGAAGGTTTATAAATGCAGACAAATCCATAAAAAGAACTTATGACTGAATGATAGTGGGTTATGTATAATTCATGACTGGTACTGCTCGTGAATCTTAAGCAGAAGTGTTAAAATAAAGAGTTATCAGTATTTTGTTTGGAGGAAATGAATAAGCTCCATCCGTTAAAAGGTGTCACTTTATGTTTCTGGATTAATCAGATCATCACGGATCAGCAATTCTCTTTCATCACTCTTCCAGATCCAAACAAACAAATCTTTACTCTTGTACTCGAATCCAACTGGATTCGGCTCAGGCGTTATTAAAGTCTAATAAGGTTCGTGTGGCTGCAGCAGAAGCTCAGAGAATATAAACAGCAGAGGCTAAATCAATGAGGCGGAAAAAAGAAATGCCTTTTTAAAAAACACGCCTTCCGGAAAAAGCTCCTGATGCACGCCGGCTAATCAAATGATGCATGTTGGCGAATTAGAAATTCAAAAATGTTATTTTCTAATGGGATGGAAAATTACATCAGAACTTAGGTTAATGCTGACCCAGTTTCAACCCCGTCCACTTTAGAAAACCTCACAAATGGTGGCAGCAGGTCTGATGTGTCCCATATTACAGTATCGCCCACTGCCAAATCCAGGCAGGGTGTGAAAAACAGTCCTTTGTGAAGCGGGGTAATAGATGATACACACAGAGGAAGAGGGAAATGAAAAAAAAAAAAAATTGGATGTCTCTAATGTAGCGCCATTAAAGGAGTCCCGCAGACAGCTGCTATATGCTGCACATCACCCGGTCGCCGCTATGCGTCCACTGGCCGGTCAAAGGGGGGAGACAAACATGACGGACAACATGAGGAAAGTGCTTCACCCTTCTGATGAGAGATGTTTTCATGACAGGAAGTCCTTCATTGTGTGACTCATACAGAGCGAGAAAGCATCATCCTTCCAGTAGGAAGTGATTCATGGAACAGGTATTTCTTTATTAAAAAAAAAAGAAAAAAAAGAAAAAACACATTTTGCATAACAAGCTTAGAGAGAATTTATGTATTTTTTTTTTTTTGGCTTTTGCCTTTATTAGAGCAGTGTAGAGGGACAGGAAAGGGGGGAGAAGAGCGGGGACAGACCTGCAGCAAAGGGTCGTGAGCGGGATTCGAACTCACGACCGCTGCATCGGGGAACTACAGCCCCTGTTCATGGGTCACCCGCTTAACCCGGTGAGCTAAAGCGGGGCCCAAGCTTAGAGAGAATTTAGATAAAAAACAACTTATTAGCAAGAAGAGTACAAAGCTCTCGAAGAAATCCATCAATTCATCCTCTTTGCGCCAGCTTTCGGGTCTTTTGTGGCCTTCTGATCTCCACCTGAGAGTAAAGCCTTCTTTCAAAACTTTTGAAAACAAAAACGTCCTTCATCACGTGGTCTTTTCTTAACTTGGTGCACTGCTTCATCAGAATTAGATTTATTCCCAGAGGGGTTACTGCTTACATTTGCTCCCGTTTAAAGTCTTAGAAAAATAGAACAAATACAACATAAACGAAAAATATGTCCTAAAAATATAAACTGTAAAAACGTATATTGTACTGAGAAAATTTAAGAATACAGTGTTATGAGTAATAATAGAGTTATTTTATGTATATATGAAGAGTTCATTTGCAAAAACAGATCACTCCATTGTTGTAGATTTTCAGAAAACTTAGAAAAAATAGAGATAACTTAAGCTTGACTGACGTTGTCTCAGGTAGACGATGGAAAAGTGGGTTTTCTGGAGGTTTGTGAAGATGGAGTTGTCTGTTTCTGCAAATGAACTCTTCATATCCATCCATCCATCATCTCTACACCTTAATCCTCACTAGGGTCATGGGGGGCTAGAGTCTATCCCAGCTGACTCAGGGTGAAGGCAGGTTCACCTGGACAGGTAACCAGTTTATCACAGGGCCACACTTACAGACAGACAACCAAGCACACTCACATTCACACCTACGGACAATTTAGAATCACCAATTAACCTCAGCATGTTTCTGGACTGTGGGAGGAAGCCGGAGAACCCGGACAGAACCCATGCTGCACGAGGAGAACATGGAGACTCCACGCAGAAAGATCCTCACCTGGACATGAACCGGTGACCTTCCTGCTGCGAGGCAACGGTGCTGAACTTTGTGGAACTTTGCTTTTAAAAGGTGCTGCATAAATAAAGTCAAATATGGAGTGCAATGTGATGCACCTTGTGAACAAGTCCAGTCCATCACAGGTCTGACACACACGCAAACGATCAAATTTTCATACCCACCACCAATTTTTCAATTCACCTCACCCACATGTTAATGCCTGTTCCGGGAAACTGGAGCAACTGGAGGAAATCTGGGTCAAGAAGTGCTCTCTCTACTACTTAAAGACTTGTCTGAGAAAGGCAGCACGATTCATGCCGCTGCAATCTGCTGCAGTTCGCTACACTAGTGATTGACATCCAAACAATTACGCCTTCTCATACGAACAAAAACGCCGTAGCACAAGCTGTAGCGCACAAAGGGAGTTGCATGACAAAAGACACTGCAACGGAGCGAATAATGTCTTCATCCACTGAGGAAATAACGGTTTGAAATTTCAGCGCTACGGGGCCTGCAAGGTCTCCTGAGCTGGATGAGTCAATCGGAAGTAGGCTAACCCACTTTCAGAGCAGATTTTCTCTCAGTCAGTCGATGAAGGTCAAAATCAGCAAACTTAGGTCATTTAAAAAAAAAAAAAATATCGCACTCTATGTCATTGGGGCTTATCCCCAGGTGCTATGCATCTCTTTAACTGATGATGTTCTTTGCATACTGTAATGATGAGACCACACACTGTTCGGTAGAGACAATTTCATTGCGCTGTAAAGCCTTTAAATCCCTGAATTTACTGAACAACAGCTCTCAGAATGTGTACCTACCCACAAGGCGTCTACATCCTAATGTAGATTATAATAATTTCCTATAACAATAAAAAGAAATGCATTCATATTTTTATTCCCTGGACACTTGATGACATTTTCACAGCATCCCAACAACAACCTGAAACAAATTCAACACATGGTGCATATTTCTGCTGTGATTTAAGTGTGCAGGAAGAAACTTTTTTGATTTTATAGAGCTTACATCTCAACGTAGTGCTCTTTCTGTAGTTTACAGGCCAGTTTGATGTCAGTTTATAGACGTCAGAATTATTTCTCATTGGCTACAAATTACAGTGATAACATACTTTTCCTGTGACTTGTTCTTCTGCAGCCCCGGCCGTGCTTTCTCATCAGTGCTGGTTAAAATTTGAATAAAGCAGTTTTTAAAAGCAGAATTATCTGCCCAAGGCCGCCACACTAGTTCTTCAAGTTATAAAATCAGAGAGGTGAGGGTGTTACAGGATGGCACCAGAAGATGGCAGTCAAATGAATATTGTTCCTTCAAACTGCCATAGAAGTCGACCCATTCATTCACTCTTCATTTAGTGTATTTTAATAATCAGCTGTCATAAATGTTAATGCAGAGTGTTGAGCTGATGCCTGCATGTATAAAATGACACAAAAAATTCGATATAATAAGTGTTTTTCTTCAGGAAACAAAAATGATTTAGAAGGAGCCGTCATTAAAAAAAATATTTATTCTCCAAACTGGACGCATATCTAAGTGTATTTTTGGCTGTGGTGAAAGTCATACATTTAGTCGTAGCTGCAGTTGTACTTTCTCTACAGTTTATGCCAAATCAGTTTCAGCATCACGTGTATCATTTCATTTTCTTGTATTATATTTCCATATGCAATATGTCAATGTCATGTGCAGTGTTTTCTTTTTTAGGTGCAATACTTCAGTGTCAATTGCAATTATTAGTATTTTATTCACGTGTAATATTTCAATTTAACTTGCAATACTTCTGTATAAAGTGTAATATTTAAATCCCATGTGCAATATTTAATTTCCATGACCAACATTTCATTTTCATGTGCGATATTCAAACCCAGATTATCATGTGTATTATTACTTGAGCGCTCCAGAATCATTGCTGGTAAAATATTTCAACTACACATGCATTGTTTATTTTTTTCCGGTTGCCATATTCCAAGTTAATGTGTCATATTGCATTACCCTGTGTAATAATATTCAATTTCATGTGAGATCTAATGTTTTCATCTGCAATGTGCAATTATCACGTCAAACATGACTTTACTGCCTCAGAAATGTTGCCTGTATTACTTCTTATTTTTTTTATTCTAGTTCTAATTAAACTCAAAGCATAGTATTTCCTCTCTTTTTAGGCATTTATTCTCTAATTTACAATTTTGTTTGATGAGAAATAAAGCCATAAAGCTCTGTCTTGTTTCCTGTGATTTCCTCTGTTGCAGTACACACGTTTGACCAGCAGGTGGCGGTGATGACACGGTGACGTGATAAACCGTCCACCTCGCGAACACCACCGAAGAAGAGCGACACCCAGGTTGAGCCGACGCTTGGAGTTACAAGTAGGGAACATTTCGGGCGCTGTGGGGTAAACAAGGTAGGAGAACCGGGTCTGTCACGCCTCGGTTTTAGACGAAGATCGTTCCGTAACCGGGATGTTTTAATCTGACCAGCTAACGGTGCGAGGCGACAACTTTGTCTGCTCGACTTCACTGACATTAGTCGCAGGAAACCTACTGAAGCTAACGTTAGCTTAGCCAGTTGTTAAATACCCCAGCCTGGATTTAACGTCAGTGGAGGGTTTATGTTCTAGCTGATATCATTTTATCCCTCCCGTGCTGATGATATCCACTCTGTCCACCTTTACGAGCTCGTTTTAACGTTATATCACCGTTGTTGTCACCTGCCGGGTTAAATCCATCTTTCTATATCCAGTGACAGCTTTCTGCTAGCTTGGCTGCAGCTCAGAATAAGCCTCGGCAGTGCACTGAACCGATATGTCACCGGTGTCAGTCTGACCTCGTGTTTTTATCTCGTCCTCTCGTCTTCCAGGTCTGTGCAAAAGTAAAGGGCGTCTCTGATGGTGGCAGGAGCCCGATAGAAAGCTGTCAGGACTGGAGGCGGTGCGCGGAAAGAGCCCGTGGTCCTGATCGTTTTTCACTGAAGACAAATGGTTTTGAGCCATGGATCCAGCTGTTGTGGACGGTCCTGTCACCCTGGTCATCAGGGCTCCCAATCAGAAGTACGATGACCAGACGATCAACTGTTACCAGAACTGGACTGTGGAGAAACTGAAGGCGCACCTGTCTGATGTTTACCCCAGTAAACCAGTGAGTATCACACAGTCACCCCCCCTAAGATAAGAGCTGTGTGTTCATGGCTTTTCTGCTTTATTTCTGTGATCCAATCCACCTGATCACACCAGTTGAATCACAAGGATTTCTTACAGCTTTTGTTTTCTTCTCGTTTGTGCTTTGACAGCATGTGGTAGTGTGACAAAAGTGTGGGCAGGAGAGATGCTGATGATATAAACACGAGTGGTTTCAGCCAATCACAGAACACGGTTGCTCGGTTTGCATCGTCAGCTTCGTCATCAGTAGTTTAAACTCAAAAAGTGAGCTGTCTAAGAAGAGATCAGGCATCGCTGACTGCTTAAGATGTATAGGAAGAAGAAAAACATCTTGATATGCAAACTTTTCAAAGTCAAGCCTCAGTTTACTGTGTCATAGATGTAAAACATGTGATGGAGTGTCACCACATGAGCTACCATTAATGTCACAAGATGGACGGCGTGAAAATGGAAAACCACTAATCAATAGTTTAAACCTTAGGTCAGACGATGTACATGGCTATTAATAGTGAGACTGGGCTGGAGCCAGTGGAACCACGGCGTGCCCGCCTGGACCGTGTACTATACGTTGATTGATGAAAATAAACTGGTAGCTTCAATCTGCTAGAATTAAATAAATCTGAATTACAGCATCGTTCTCAGTGTTTAGTAGCCTCACCTTGTCTGTCCTAAATCGCCTTGTTTCAAACTGCAGCTTTGATTTGAAATCGATTCAATAGTTCAGCCCTATTTTCAGCCTTTTTTTGATTTCAGAAATGACACAACCAGCGTTTTCCGTTTGAGCTGCTTTTGCTTTGTGCAGAGTGCCCTTAGTGATTCACAGAACCGCTGAACAATCACTCAGCAACACAGACTGTTAACCTTGATCTATTCTGTGAAGTGAAACAAGTTGGGTTTTTGGAGTCACTGCAGCTGAAGGAGCCTTGGAGGCAGTAGGTTTTAGACTCCGACTGTGTTGTGCTGCTAATCTGACTCTGCTCCCTTTTCCTCTCTGCTCGGCCCTCGTTCTGATGCAATCGCTGTAAACACACGGGGACAAACTGCTCTCTTGTAGGGCTTTGGTGTAATCTCACACAGGGCTGTGCTTTTGCGAGGGTAACTTAGCGGGGGCATTAGCTGTGGTATATTTAACAATAGGGCAGCTTGAACCCAGATGAAAAGGTTTTCAGTTACAAGGTGGTCAGGGTTTAGAAAGGATATTTAAATTCTTGAATGAGTGTACAGTGAGCGCAGGCTTTAGGAGGACACGCTCTGACCTTGTTGTAATGGCGACTAAATCCACTGCTAAGACCCACTTATCCCGATTGAGGTTACTAGGATCTCATCCTCATTACTGACAAGTTGTCTGCCTTTTGATGCCGTGATCGTCTTGACTCCAGAGTTCGTGATTTCTTGGTTGACTGTGTGGTGGAGTCGCTCTTTCAGATATCATCATTTTGACTCATTTTAAGAACAAATGAAGTGACCCACATTCTGCTCTGACCCCGTTATCGTTATGCTTTTGTATTTTTAGAGCTCCAAAGACCAGAGGTTGGTGTATTCTGGAAAGCTGCTGTTGGATCACTTTACCTTAAAAGATGTGCTCAGGAAGGTAAGTTCTTGTCGGTGTGGCTGCATCTCTTCCCAACTCTGTGGCGGTTCGTTTTATTGCCAGTTCAGATAAACCTTAATGCTCCAGCGTTAATATTTTAGTGTGGTTCCAGTAGTTTGGTGAAGGCCTGTGCACACACCGTGGTCTATAAAGGAATGGCTTTAGTGAGTACTGTGTGCAAGAACTTGACTGACCTGCAGAGAACTCCGACCTCACCCCCTCCCACACCTCTGGGATAAACCGGAGGGACGTCTGTGAACCAGAGCTCATGATCCGATGTCAGCGTCCAGACCTCGCTGATGCTCTCGTGGCTGAACCGTCCAAAACCAAGCAGAAAACCGTTCCAGACTTGTTCTGATGTCAGAATTGAAGGATCGGCAGAAGTATAGTTGTATTTTTAGTTGTTCATCGAGTAGTTTTGTGCTCATGAGGTAAATGATTGCCCTGATGCCTCATGTTAGCGTTTGTGTTTTAGAGTCATCAGGTCCTGTGTGTGAAGGTTTGCGTATTTGTCTTAATAAGCAGTTTCATGAATAGATGTTTTTTTTATTTAAAGCTCACGTTAAAATGCAGTGAGCTATGTTGAGCCTCTTAATGTCACGAAGGTGGCTCTCTGTTAGCCTGCTAGGTCACCATGGTAACCGATGCTGCACAGCTGACTATTCAGAACGAACTGAGTTTGAATCAGCTGGAAGAGGCACAAATCTTTCACTGATTCCTCTCCTGACGATATTCTCCCCGAGTGATTCAGATTCTCAGCTGAGGGAATACATTCTATTTGCACTGCCGCCGAAGGAAGCTGTGGACGAGCGCAAACTCTATGTTGCCATGGAAACCCACATGCATTCAGTTGGCGATGCAGAAAATGCACAAATATGATTTCATGTTTGGTCCTGATCTGCTGCCGAGTACATTGCAGCCAACAGAACACATTGATTAGTCCACTGATAGCCTTAATAAATTGATATTCAATAAATGATTTGACCAAATATTTAAGGTTTTTACATGTAACCCTTAATTATGGGACAGCGTCAGACCTGAATGCACTTCTTGAGTATCAAGCTTAGAAGAAATTAAAACAAGATTTAAATTTAAAATGTTTAAATCTGGGCTGCATGGTGGATCGGTGGTTAGCACCGTCGCCTGGTAGCCAAAAGGTTGCCGGTTGGCGTCCCGGTGAGGACACCCGAGATCTTTCTGCGTGGAGTCTCCATGTTCTCCCCGTGCAGCGTGGGTTCTCTCCGGGTTCTTCGGCTTCCTCCCACAGTCCAGAAACATGCTGAGGTTAATTGATGATTCTAAATTGTCCGTAGGTGTGAATGTGAGTGTGCTTGGTTGTCTGTCTCTAAGTGTAGCCCTGTGATAGACTGGCGACCTGTCCAGGTGAACCTGCCTTCACCCTGAGTCAGCTGGGATAGACTCCTAGTGAGGATGAAGCGGGAAACTATATATGTTAACGCACACAATCCGTTTTCTATCAGCACTTTTCTCTTTTGTAGTAAGAGTGTCTTTTATCATAATAAACATTTAATTTAACCAGTGATGTCACAACTTTTGTAAAACACTGAGAAAAAAAACTAACAAGGTTATTGCTGTTAACGTAAATTGTAATTAACTGATTTTTCAAGATGGAAAAAAAGCCTAGAATTACAGCCGCTAACTAAAGAGGGGAGGGAGACGAGACGGAACAACATCCACAGCATCAGTGTAATGAGGGAATTTTTTCTGTGCCTTGTTTTTTTTAGTTTGTTCTTTTAATTTCCTTTAGTTTTTTAAATGTGTTTTATTCCCTGATTCTCTCCTTGGTTGCACCTCAGGGCAAAATTCACTGTCAGAATAATGCATTTCTAAATGGGCCATTGGGTTTTTGTGCAACTGGATGGTATTTTATTGAAAAAATTAACTCAGTTATCATTAATGTAACTCTTATCTTTACATTCAGTTGTAAACGTCCAGACAGTCGATGTCCAAGTGTTTCAATGTCCTCTGTATTGGCAAAGTTAGAAGTCCAGGCGAACATGCAGGACTCTGTTTGATAATGAGCTGTGCTGGTTTCTGCAGCAGGACGAGTACCATATGCTCCATCTGGTGTGCGCCTCCAGAACCCCTCCCAGCTCCCCGAAGCCCCCCCGCAGCCGCAGTAACAAGCCTCAGGAGAGCGCAGCCGGTCCCACGGTGGGTCAGCCGCGCACGCCTCACACCTTGCCGTTTATTTCATCATCACTGCATTTCCTTTCATCATCCCACCTCGCTGCTGCAACCCGCAGCTCCCCGAGGGCTTCACAATGTCACTCGGCTTTCTTTTAAGATGTTAGCACTGATGTCCAGAACTCATTTTTCTGCTTCCAGGCCCCTCAGAGCTCCAGTAGTCCTGGTCAGGATGGCCAGACGCCCACAGGAGAGAGCAGCGATGGGCTCAGACAGCGAGCCGGACCCTTCCCTTACCACCAGATGTATCCACAGTTTATGCACAGGTAAGCTGGAGCAGCAGAACTTTGATGACTGCTGTAGGTAATGAGGTAATGAGGAGTTTACTAAAGCTTTTTAGAAAAAACGAAACATGAAGGTGTCCGTTCAGTATCTTTAGGTCATTTATCAAATACAGTCGTGACTCGATAATCCGACCCTTAACAATCCTAAACCTGCTATCCGACAGGTTTTTAGGAAAAACCAACAGAACCCAGAAAAACAGCCTTAACATAGCAACAGCCTTGGATTCTGACTCCGACATGACATTTAATGTCACCAATCAGGATAACAGCGTATTATCTGACTGAACAATCCCACAGATTGGCTACGTTCACACTGCAGGACTTGATGCTCAATGAGGATTTCTTTGTGAGTTCCTTCACATTTCCAGTTAAATGGGACTTGTATGTGATCTTGTGTGAACTTCATACGACCCAAAAGCAGCGAGCGTGCTCAGTGTTTACGGAAGTAAACATGGATGGTGACGGTGGAGCGTATCTGCCACTCCCCCACCGCCACCGATGGTGGAAACAGCAGTGTGAGCACTAACTAAACTAGCATCAGCAGCCAAGTACTGCCTGTGTGTTCTGGACACTTCCACCCCGTCAGAGCGCTGCCCCGGGGTGGAAGTGTACCCCGACCGCACCGAATATTCTTATATTCATCATTAATTGGGCCTGAATATCCAGAGAGCAGAAAATGCTATTGGGACCAGCCCTACTAGTTATAACAACTATGAACAACTAATGAGCCTTCCAGCATCAAGCCCTCCTTGTATCTGGACCTCCGTCTTTACAATCCAACAGCCTTGCTATCCGACATAGAAGAAGGTTTTACATTTAGTGTCGGATTATCGAGTCACGACTGTACACATCGCGTGTCTCTTAAACACCTTGTTGTGTAGATGTGAGAGCAGTCGAATACGTCGGCCTCACATCCGTTTAAGCACTTTTATGTCAAAGCTACGACAGCACTCTCAGTGGTTTTGACCTTGTAGGACTTCCGTATGCTGCCGTCAAGAGTTACGTAGAGCAGATACGGAGGGAGAGTTGTGTCAAATCCTCAAGGAAAATAAAATGTTTGATAAAACGCTGACAGGGATCTGACTAAACATCGTTAAGTTGATAGTTTTGCATCATGTGGCATGATTCTATTAAAATTAATTTCCTTCTTCACCACGCAGAGTTGAAAATAGACACGCCGTCAGTCATGCCACCTGCATGAATTCATAACATACATTATGTGAACTAAACCGAATTACACAAGAGCCCCAAATTAGCTTATTTTCATGCTTGTCCACTGCAGAACGTTATGAAATACGTGGAAGCGGTCTGTCTCTACAAAAATAGTGACATATCTTATGGGATTCACTTCTAGGGGCGGTCATGCTTCATTAATTAAGGCCTTAATGGAAAATTCTGTTTTAAAATCAATCAGCGACGGAGCCAGCGATTGGATGGAAAACCCTTCCTCCCGCTCACATTTCACAACTTCACCGATTCCTTTTGCGCGCCAGGTGCCAAGTCCCGCTGAAGTATCGCTGCCTTCTCCTTGAACAGTCCGAATGAATCCGCGAGGAACATTAACCCGAACGACATCTCCGTCTGAACGAGGAGCCAAGAAGCTGTTCCCCATCTGAAGAGAGCTGCAGGAATCATCGGCTCCAAGTTTTAGATCTAAGGTTCCTGCACGTCTTAGCCGTAAAGCCCCAGACTCACTGATGGTTTAAATCATATTATTCCAACTGTTTATTGGTTATAAAATGATCTTAACTGCTGGTTGATGCCACAGACTTTAATAACTCAACGTAATCAAATTGTAAATCTAATTTATCTGCAATAAAAGACTAATAGTAGGGGAGTAATAGTAATAATTATTTATATCGCGTGCTTTACAGACAGGGCAAAAAAGAGTGGTCTGTTCCAAAAAGGGAAAAGTGGAATAAAAGAAAAAATAGAGAGTAAAACCATCAACATGATAGTAGATAGGTGAAATAAATAGATAACCAAAGGGTAGAAGAGAATAAAATGAGCAATTAAATAAAGTAAAAACAAAAAACAATTAGACAATCAAAATAGAAGATAAAAATAAAAAATACAAGTAGAAATAAGTATTTAAAGAGTACATATGCAAAAACAGATAACTCCATTTTTGTAGATTTTTCAGAAAACTTTTTTGTTGTTGTTTGCTTGAGATGATATCGATCAAACTGATTTGACTCAGTAGAAGTGACAGAAGTAGAGCTAACTTAAGTTTGATTGATGTCGTCTCAGGTAGACGATGGAAACGTGGGTTTTCTGAAGTATTCATGCGTACGTAGGAACTTCGGGCTTCTGGTAACGCTGTCTCTCTCTTCCAGCTGGAACCACTTCCCCTCACAGCCTCCTGCTCCCACCAACATGCCTGCGTATTACAACCCCATGACCCACATGTGGTGGCAGCAGCTGTACGCCCGACAGTTCTACATGCATTAGTAAGTCCCTTTAGTCCGTCCAGTGTTTTTGTGAAGCAGAACACGGCCTCACCAACCCTCCGTCTCTCTCTCCCCCTCTTTTAGCCAGCTGCTGGCTGCCTCCTCCCAGAACCTCAGGCCCGACCAGCCTTTGAATCAGCCCAACCCGTCGGACCCCCTGAGCCAGCGGCCGCAAGTGGGTCGCCACGGCAACCCGGAAGTCCAGATGAACGCCCAGGGAGGGGAGATCCTGAACGAGGAGGAGCTCAACCGCGACTGGCTGGACTGGGTGTACACGTTCTCGCGCGCCGCCATCCTGCTCAGTATCGTCTACTTCTACTCGTCGTTCAGCCGCTTCGTCATGGTGATGATGGCCATGCTGGTGCTCTACCTGTGAGTGGCACCGCTGTCGTTCTATACGGTGGCCGATGATGTTGCATATACAGAAAGGAGCTGCATATCCAGTCACACAACAGGCCTCTAGGGGCAGCAGTGAGCTTTCACCTGAGAAGCAGACAACGGTGAGCGAGACGAGTAGTTGAGGGAAAAGCTGTATGACAAGGTTTGTATTCTCTGGTCTCCATGGATACACATAAGTACCAGAGAGACGGTGGTAAAACACCACCTCAGCACCCAAATAGTCACAGTGACTGAGAAGCTAAAGACTTAAAAACTGCCCCTAGAGGCCCGGGGTACTTCTGCTGTGTGACTGGATGTGCAGCGTTTTCTTTTTGCAGCTCGTTAGTGTAGCTGCACATTATTGGCCCCCGTCAGCCACCGTAGTTTTACTCAAGCAGAGTTACACTGCTGCATACCGAGCTGCTGTTTTGAGGTTGTAGTTTATCCACTTCTGTTGTGACTGCATCAAAACAGTCTGTGAAGCCTTTATCCTTCTAATTAACTCATATTTTAAGCTCTTTGACAGCTATTAAAGGTGCCAATGCTTCTGCTATTATTGCATTTATGGCTGCATCACTCTGCCATCAGGGGGTTTTGGCTTTTTTAGAGTTTTTATTTCAATAAAACAACAAATTAGTAAATGAAGTGGCTGAACTCAGCTTCACTCCACACTGAAGTTCTGCACAGTAGTCTTATGAAACATTTACTTGTTGAGAGATGTCATTAAAATACATCATTTGTGAAATTAAGGCTGCAGCAGTTGGATGCTCTCTGATAGAAGAGGTTCTGTAGATTCATGCAGCGCCGCTCTGAAGGTCCCTGGTTGGACTGTAATAATACAACCTGAAGGTAGCGATAAATAGTCGGTTTATGTTTAGTTTGTCAGGATGAATTTAAACTTCAATCATTGACTGAGCAAAATTGCCAAACATTTGAAGGTTACATGAAGTCAGTCTGTCTTTATCATCCTTTGTAAAACTCATTAGAACCACATTAGAACCATTTGTCGTCATTTTCACGTGTTTGAACAGCTCACAGATTTCTCAAAGTCTAACTGATCATGAATGGCTGATTATAAAGGTTTTATTTGTGTTTCTGTGCTTCCTGTCTGCAGGCACCAGGCCGGCTGGTTTCCATTTAACCTGGAAAACGAACTCCAGCTTCCTGGAGACAGAGTCAACCAGGACGACATGGAGGGAGACCTGCAGAACCACGACTTACAAGAAATGGTAACTGTGATTTGAACTATTCATCGAGCACAAACATCCACTGGTTTCTCAGAGCAGAGTTTATAGAACAGAAGACTGACAACATGGCAGTTCACTATTTTCACCTGTTTTCGAAGCCGAGCTGCCGGTTCCTTGATTAATTGTACCAAATCAACAGAGGGTTTAATCAGCACTGAAATAATTGCAAACTGGCGCTCTGGGGGCAAAGTTAGACAAATTGAAAACACAGTCATGACGATGATAGATTTATTTATGCAGCACTTTGAAAAACAACAACTTACAAAAGCAGGAAACCTCCCGAGCAGAATAACAGGAGAAAGTCAGACTAACGATACCAGGCAGACAAAGTGAAAACATCAAGACAAAAGATGCAACATGCAGCATTAATATGCCAATAAATCAAATCATTAGAGCACTAAAAATCCTAGTATGTTATAGATTTACGTCTATGAGAAAGTGATCTAAAAGCAGCTGCTGATCCTGGGAGCCTTATTTCTTCAGGCAGATCGATTCAAAGCTAAGATGTGATGAAGCCTCAACTCTGGAGCAGCCACAAGTTTCCCACATAAGTCTGAAGATTCTCAGTCATCCGGATTCTTCTCGTAGATTAATCGTGGAGTAATAATGGGCTTCGTTAGGGTCTTCTGTGGGTTCATCTTCTTGGGGAGAGGTCTTAGATCCCAGGAAGATGAACCCACATCCACACCGAGCCACAACAGACCCTAACGAACCCCACTGTGGCAGGGGGAGCACTAACGACTCACATAACGAGGGGGAGGAGCAACAAACCCCCTATTGAAACCCAAACTCAGGTGTTAATATCTCCTTCAGGATATCAGTATCTGGAACTCCCAACTAGTCAGTCAGAGCTGATGAAGCCTCTTGGATGAGAGGTGGAACGTCTTCAAGGAACTCAAGTCCAGTTAATTAATCGACGAGAAGTTCCCACTGAAGGATCTGAGGCTGCGACTGGCTCACATGGAGTCAACATTTCTACGCTGTAGCTCAGGCACCCAGGCAAGCTTTAGAAGCAATCAGTAAAATCAAACTCAATATAAAAAGGAAAGGAGTCACAGAGTTGTTGTGCTAAAATCAGGTCTGATCGAGTTTAAAGAGTGACGCTGCAGCATTCAAGCCTGCAGAAAATAAGGCTGCATTCATCCCATATTACACAGCGTGCCAGAAAGTAAACAGTATGTCCCAATACGTGGCATGTCAGATGTAGTCTGTAGACAGAAATAGCTGGACGTCCTCCTACAGCAGGTCAGATCTGGCAGTCAGCTGGCCAGCTTGTTTCTCTGGCCACTCTGACCTACAATCGTTCTGTTGCATAAGTCCTGGTGTCTCATGTGAGAACATTAAAGCTGAGATAGACGATAACGGCTCATTTCACATCACAGACGGCTGCGTGTCCTCATCATGTGCACGCTGCATGAAACAGTACATAGTTTGTGTGGGCACTAAAAATGGCTTGTTCCAGGAGTGTGAGCACAACAGTTTGATTGTTGAAACTATCATTAAACTGTGGTTCAAAGCTGAGAACTGAATTAAATTCAGCAGGTAGCGTTAGCAGACATGGACAAGACCGTTCTCAGTGAGACTGATGTGATTTGGATTCATTTTAGCTCAGCAATGTCATCCTGGAATGCAATGAATTCCCCCTAAAACACTTGTCAGACAAGGTAAATAACTTTTAATGTGGAAATTTATGGCCGAAGTCAGCATCCCGTTTCAGTCAGATGTGTCTCGTGGGGGCTGCAAGGTGGATCGGTGGTTAGCACCGTCGCCTCACAGCTAGAAGGTCGCCGGGATCTTTCCCGGTGAGGACACCCGGGATCTTTCTGTGTGGAGTCTCCATGTTCTACCCGTGCAGACCATGTTCTCCCCGTGCAGAGTGGGTTCTCTCCAGGTTCTCCGGCTTCCTCCCACAGTCCAGAAACATGTTGAGGTTAATTGGTTGATTCTAAATTGTCCGTAGGTGTGAATGTGAGTGTGCTTGGTTGTCTGTCTCTAAGTGTAGCCCTGTGATAGACTGGTGACCTGTCCAGGTGAACCTGCCTTCACCCTGAGTCAGCTGGGATAGACTCCAGCCCCCCACCACCCTAGTGAGGATTAAGGTGTAGAGAGATGATGGATGGATGTGTCTCTCATACATCTTTTAATCTGCCCAATCTGACCAGGAGGGGGCCCTGGACGACGGCTCCGATGACGAGAGCGGAGAGGAAGGAGCAGAGGACCCCAACAGCGCCCCCCACGCAGGCTTCCTGTCCTCCACGTGGTCCTTCATCATCACCTTCTTCATGTCACTGATCCCAGAGGGGCCGCCCAACGCCGCCAACTGAACGTCGAGCGCCGCCGCCGTTCCCTCGGCGGTCACTTCTTCAAGAGGAGGGCAAAGCTCCCACCTGCTGAGGGAAACTGTCTCCGTTGCTACGCAGTGTTATAGTTTCCCGCTAGTCCGCTCCGTACGTGAAACTCTGAGCCGAAACACAAGCGACCGATTTAACCTGAAAACAGAAAGAAACGGTCATCTCATATGGAGTCTTTTTGTTTGTTTGTTTGTTTGTCTGCACCAAGACAAAAATGTCAAACGACACGAGCATTAGTTTAACGAGCGTTTCTAGCGATGCCTTGTGAACACAGCGACAGCAGCAGCAGGTTCATCATCACAACTCATTACAGCACCGTTGTTGTTTTTTTCTTTTCTTTGTAAGAAGCTGCAATATTTGTTCAAATAGTTTTGCTTGAATTGTTATGAGTAACAGTGGTTACATTAAAATAAGACACTTTTTTTTAAAAAAGAGCCACTTTAAGTCCAGAATTTCAACAGAATAATCGTGAATCTTATGGACGGAGTTACACGAGTGATCGTCTGAACACATCAGTGGTGTGTTGACGTGAAACCCAGAGTGATGCTGCTTACTGAGCTGTTTCTCTTTTCTTTTTTTTCTTTTTTTTAATCGAACGATGTACCACTAATTCTTTCAGAAGAATTTCACCTTTAACGGAGCATCGCTGTCAGTGTGGCATCGAGTGAACAATTAAGAAAAAATCGCAGCACTGCCACGTAGCAGAGGTCAAGTAGGACGAGTAATAATGATAATGCACCTCCCGAGTTTCTGGAAATGAATCCTGCTGTTAACATGTTGTGTACCGATTATAATGTCCATGTTTATTAAAAATACATCCATTGTAATGAAGCCGTGTGGTTTTGGAGAAGCTTTCACACCATCACAAACACTGACTCCCTTACAGATGTACAGGCTGGAGTAGATCGTACGAAACGTGGAGGAAACATCTCTGTTTACTGTCTCTGCTGTGCAAAGTCTGGTCCGGACACATTGAGATCAGAGCACACACTGCTCAAACACCATCACCGAGTCGAAATTATTATGAATGAAAAACGGGAACAGAAGTGAGATTTAGTCCTGATTGAATTCAAAGTGGAACCTTTCTCCCTGACGCAGCTGATATTGTAAGATGTTAAAGGTGAATCAGACGAGCTTTGAAGTGAAGCTCTACGATTGTTCCGCTTGGCCTCATTCCCTCCAGGTGCATTGTCAACCCAAGGCCTTCGCATATCCACGAGCAGGAAGTTCGAACTGATCTGTGAAAGCAGTTTACTTCCGTTGCTGCTGAAGCAAAGAATAAATGTACCGGATGTTGGATTATAGGTCATCTCTAATGAAACTGGTCACTGTCACTTTGATTTCTGTGTACCGATGCTGCACATTCATTTATATTGTTAGAGCAAAAAGTAATGAGGCATAAGGACACTTAGGGAAACATCACATGTCCACACTATCCTCAGAGGTTTAATTAGCCAAATAAGTTAAAGATAAAAGTGTTGTGTCCATGAAGAAACTTCAAATCCATCAGTAGGAGAGATGATACAGGTAGAACAGGATGTCTGTGCAGCAGTGTGTAACGTGGAGCTTTGCTGCCACCTTTTGTCTTCACCATGAAATACTCCTCAGGTTTGGTATAAACTGGACAGAACATCATGTCGATACACTGATCTGGGAACGTTTCCCAAACGTTTTGACAGTCACGGCAGAAGAAGTATAAGTTTCATTGCAAAATCAAAGTGAAAGTGGAAAAA